TGTTAACGAAATATGACTAGATTATCAGTAAACATTATAATGCTTTCATATGCAAAATATCAAATTGTTTTATTAAGTCTTAACTTTTGTAAAGCATTGTTTTTCTCATGTATTTTGTTTTCTTTTTGCTTGTTGCCTATCTATCATGCAAAGTAATATTCAGTTTAAGATTAAAAATACTTTTATGCAAAATTATTATAATGTCCAGATAGTTATCACTTCTTAAGAAAAAACTATATTTTATTTGTTATTTTCAGTAATTAATCACTGTACGGGTTTGGTAGATTTGACCAATCTCACAACCAATGTAAAAAAAATTAGGAAATAAATATAAATTATGCCTCTTTTATAGTAGAATGAACACAAATTATAACATGAAAACATAAATGCTTAGACTAAATAGCTTAAATCTCATAACATTATACATTTATATATATTTATTATATTGACCTTTCAGCCATGCCTGGCTAACAATACAGAAGTTACAATGACGTGGCTCATGTGCACTTATCTTACTGTATCAAATAACATAACACTGACCTTTGGTCTGTGCAAAGTAACTTGTCTTGACTGTGTTTTAGTAGACTAGTACTTTGTAAAATACAGTCAAATTTCAATTATTGTACATTATATATGTATATAGATTATTGCTATTTTGAAATAAGTTCTTAAACTTATTTTTCTTAAAACATAGAACAGTAACTAAAGAAGTAAAGCAAACAATTATCTCTTCCAGTTACGACCTTTGTACCTGTTTGCTGCTTGATGCAGGTTGCTAAGCCTTTAAAAAAATTGCACGTGGAGGATATGAAACAAGATATTTTTTTTTAGGTTTTTATACATACATTTGAATAACTACAAATCATAAATTACTACATTAATACCATAGAATTCCACTATAATTTATAAAGATTAGTAACTAAGGTGTATTTTAGTCTAAAAAAATATGAAATTTTGAGCAGACTAAAGACACACCCTACATCGTTGAAATATTGGTTCAAAAGAAAAAATGGCACCAAGTCCATTAAAATGGATGAGAAAGCCACTAGGGGGGACATTTTGAGCTTCTGATTGGTTATTCATTCCATTTATAGAAGTAAGTGTATATAAGGGAGCATTTCCAAAAATTGGAAAGAGGTGGTCGAGGTACCTCTGTGTTTGATTTATTACATGAGCAATATTTTAGCAAATTGAAAAGATAAGACTTTCTTATTTTATATTCTAGCTTTTCAGTATCTGTAATTTGAGTTTCTAACTTGTTGGAAACGATAAACTTAGTATTTTGACTTCACAAACATCTAATTTGAACCAGTGCTGCATTTTTGTGCCATGTGACACACAAAAATCGATGTTTATCTGTGTTTTTTAATATTTGCTTGTAAATTAAGAAATTA